GGCCAAAGTATTGGAGCCTCAGCTTCAGGATGTGTCCTTCCAGGGTTGATTTCTTTCTGAATGGATACGTATAGGTTTGTTCTCCTTGAGGGGACTTTCAAGAGACTCTAAGGGGTTAGTCAGCAGCAAAGCACATCCCCTTTGCTCCATTGTCACATCAGGAGGAAGACTTACTGATCCTCCCTTACAAACAGGTCAAGTATTCTTGGGATAAGGCATGACAGAAGACTAGAGAATCTATTATCACTATTATTATTATAATTAGAGCCCTATTAGTGCTGCAGAACTGCAACATTTAATGAGAATGCAATACAACATGGAAATAAAATAGGCAGAACTTTTGTCCTCTCTTTTATTTGATACAATAACATTCAGAGGAATGATTTTTTTTCTTATATTCATCTACTGTGAAGAAGATTCCATCTTTCTGGGTCTCATTCCCAAGTAATGGGAAAACAAAGTATGAGTGAGAGGGAGAGAACATTCTTTACAAACACGAAAAATCTGTTACAGAGCATTACTTTTAGTGGACTTCAATTAATTAAGTAAAATAATGCATCTTCAGGCAGGCTTACTGGGGCCAAACGTGAAGTACTCATAGGCCAAGTATTTAAAAAGTTGGTAGAAGGCACTTTTGATTTGGTTTCTCTTAGGTTGCTATTCATACTTTAAGATGCGCTTCCATTCGCTCTCTCAGTTTGTATTTCTGTATCTAAAATTGAAAGACAAAGGGAAAAAGAAGAAAGATATTAAAGGTATGTATATATACCATTATATTGTTAAGGGATGAACTTCTAAGATCAAACCTAACCGCCTTTCTTCCTAACCTCTCTTCTCCTTGCACACTGTCTTATCTCTTGACATGAGAGACCAGCAAGGCGAGCGTGCAAAAGCCACTCCCCCAGATTAGGCTGTGACCTGTATACTGGCCCCTGCAGATTGCTCATAACTTCCCCACCAGCACAGCCTAACTAATGCTGGTGGTGAGGGCAATGTTAACTCCTTTAAGGACAAACTTGGCTCCAGAGCACTAACATAGCAGCAGGTGTCATTTTCAATATCTCCCAATACATTATCCAACTTGGACAGTTTAGAATAGTGCCTGCAATATATTTAGTGGTCCATAGGGCTAGACTGGAAAAACCGCTGGTTGGGCAAGACTGCTGGTTGGGCATGTGACTGGTGTTGATAAGGACAGCAAGGAGCCTTAAATCTCACTGCTAGCTGCTGTTGTGCCTTCTGCTCTCAGTCCCTCCCTGCTGTATCAACCAAACTTACCCGGTAACTAGCACTATCTACATGCTGAAGTAGAAACCCATCTCCTGCTCAACTCTAGAGCAGCAGATATGGTAGGAGGAGCCGATGTCTTGTACTGTACTCTCAAAATGAAAGGCCTGGAGTCGTGCTGGGCATTGCAACTGCTTGATGCCACAGCTGGAGCTGTGATGCCAAATGAGAGCTTGCCTCCTAAGTAGGATGGTAGCAGTCACACTATTAAGTTGGGGAGGTGGTGGCAGGCAATTGTGCTCATTTGGCTGTCTCTTCCAATCTGCTTCTTTATGATGAAGTTCGCTATCCTTGTAGTAGGGCCAGATCTGACAGTTTTATCCATCTCTTGAATAGGCACGTAGCCTTGGTTGTGTCTCTGACTCCTCTTTCTCCCCCACTCTCTGTATTCAGTACATTGCTTATCTCTAAGGACAGTACTTATCTCTTTACACTAGAGGTGAAATATGGTCTTTCTTATAATTTTCCTCAGCAAAACTCTTTTTATTCACTTTAGTCCACTCTTACTTAGACTACAGCAATCTTTTCTCCTCTAGTCTTTGATTGTTGGTGACCTCACATCTTCCTAGTACTCAGCTGTCAAGATCAGTCACTTCTCTCGTCTCTCTCATTATACTGCACTTCACTTTAACTTTCTGTACAGTCTTCTTGTCCATTCCTGGATCTAGCACAAGTATCCTGCTAGCAGTCTTGCTTCCTCTAAATCCATTCACAGATTCCTCCTTTTCCATGGAACCTTTGGGTCAACCTCCAATTTTTAGTCTATAACTAAACCCACACATGTTTAGTTGGAATCATTGGCTATATTTTCCTGTTTGTTATTATCATCCCCTTCCCCTTCCTTTGTTGTTCCCCTGTTGAAGCTAGGCCTGACCTCTTGTACTTTATAAAGTGCTTCCTGATGATGCTAAAACAAACAATTAAAATCTTCCTGCTGTTACTCACCTTGCCTGACACAGTTAGTGGGAAATCCTTCACAAATACTATGTAACGAGGGATCTTGAAATGAGAAATCTGCAACAGAAATGCCAAGAGGTAGGGCTGCAAAACTCCTGCTTCTGGTTCCTGAGTTAAGAGACTCTCTGGCCCAGAATATAAAATGAAACCTGATCTGATGTCACAACTACCATAGTAAGATACAACACGGGTGGGCAAACTATGCCCTGCATACTCTTTATTCCCCCCCCCAGCACCCTACAACCTGAAAACAAGTTTGGCTGCAATCACATCCTCAGAAGCTTCTAGGATGGGGTGCAACTGACTTTTGGGGGGCCCTGGGGCAGTTTTAGGGTTGGACAGGCCTTTTTTCGAAAGATGTGATCAGAACGACCCATGCTCTAAGACAGCAGATCTTACTCACTCAGTGTTTCTGAAGGCCAAACTGGTCTCTCTTTTTTCATGGCAAAAGAAGAATAATGAGGTGGGAGGGTTATACAGTATCTCCCTAAAAATGGCTGGGGTTAGGGTGGAAGTGAGCTGCTTAAGTCCTAGGGAGCTCGCGCAGCCCATCAACCCCTGAAAGATGCTCATCTCTCCCCTATAGTGTTTTACCAATTGACCCCATAAAATCTCCACCATGAACACCATGGTTAACAGGGTTTTCTCCTGAACAAGGCATGACAGACTCATCCAATGAGAAGCTCTTACCTTCCCTTTGCAGAAGGCCTTGATTTCCTCTGCTGTGCACTCTTCTCCTTCTTTTACTCTGATCGAGGCACAGATCTCCTCTCCCATGCGCGCATCTTTCACACCAACTACCTGAACAGACAAGAAGGACCAAACAGATCTTTGGCGGGACTACATCTTTTCCTGGCACTCATCAAGTGCTCTCGTTTTTCTGAAGGGCTGAAATGTCTTAGTTCATTTAGCCACAGGTATTTATGCAAGCAGCAGAATTCAAGGACTCCCCAAATCCCACAAAACCATCCTTCTCACCTGCACCTCATGAATCTTAGGGTGGGTATGAAGAAACTGTTCAAGCTCCGCAGGGTATATGTTTTCCCCTCCTCGGATTATCATGTCCTTGCAGCGTCCTACAATCTTGCAGTAACCATGTTCATCAAGCATAGCAATGTCCCTGTGAGTGACACCACACAGTCAGTCCACCCCGAGTCTAATATGCTGCTAAAACTCCCACTCAAATACTCAAGTGTTTTCATCCTGTTACACTGCCCATGCTTTTTCTGCCTGCACAGGTGGCACATTGTAAGAAAGAGTCTGGATTCTCTATCACAAGATTCTGCAGTGTGTGGCACCACATGCCATGGTAAGACATCCCATGTGATCTGTGCTGAAGAAAAAGCTTTCTTTCTTTCTTTCTTTCTTTCTTTCTTTCTTTTCTTCTTTCTTTGTTTTTTTGTTTTTTGTTTGTTTATTTAAAATAATTTTCCCTGCCTTTCTCCTAAAAAGGGACCCAAGGTGGCTTACATCATTAAAATGACATTTTAAAGCTAAAAATAATAAGTATACAAATACTAAAAAAGATCCAGCAAATATCACTCTAAGAAATGGTAAACAAAAGCAATGCCAAAACCGCATTCAAAGCAGTAAGGCACAACCATCCATTAAAAAAACTTCACTCAGGCAGCTAGTTACTGAGTGAGAGCTTGCCTGAGGAGAAAGGTCTTTTGCCTGCTTGTGGAAGGGCAGCATAGGTGGGGCCAGCTTGGTCTTCTCTGGGATGAAGTTCAAAGTCTGGGAGCAGTGGCAGAGACGTCCCTCTCCCATGTTCCACCAAACGCATCTGTGAGGACGGCAGGACTGAAAGGCCTCTCCTTAACAACCAAGCCGTCCTGAGAGAAAGGCCTCTCCTTAACAACCAAGCCGTCTTAACAACCAAGCCATCTCATAATGGGAGACAGAGATGGAATTCACAGGTCGACATAACGAGGGCCTGGCCCCCTGGGGCTGGACCATCCACTCACCCATCCGCTGCAGCTGCAGGCTCCGCGCTCCCTTCCAGTTGCTCCAGAGCTCATGGTCAACTAGTCACTCATCAGCCTGGCAGGGAGGCTCGTCTTCCCTCCTTCTGCCAGGAGTGGATAGTCGATCAGGAGCTTCGGAGCAATTGGAAGGGAGTATGACTAGTAGTTATCCTTTTGAGCCTAAACTGCTCTTCAGTTCAGAGAGGTTTGCTGTTTCCTATCTGGTTATTCACACAATATACATTTTATAAGACTGATCATTTTGTTCTATTTTTTTCTGATGGGACTGAAAAGAAGATATACTGATTTGCTAAAAACCACCCTTTGCACCTATCATTCTGCTGAAATTCAGTCCACTTCCCTATCCCACATTCTACCTACTAGATCATATTAACTATACCAATGAATTAATACTTTTGTTACTTATACAGTACTTATACTTTTTATTTATTTATTTATTTATTTATTTATTTATTTATTTATTTATTTATTTATTTATTTATTTATTTATTTATTTGATTTTACCCCGCCCCTCTAGACCATGTCTACTTACCCAGTCTTGTACCATTTTTCACCAGTCATCACCTCATTAGTCTTGTTGGGGTCTCCCCAGTATCCAAGCATGACACAGTAACCTTTAATCTGAAGTTCTCCTGGGCTGTTGAGTGGGAGGAATTCTCCTGTATTAGGATCCTCAATTTTTGCCTTTTAACACAGGGGAAAGAGAATGCTTAAATATGGGGCTGAGCCAGGACTGGAAGGGAGAATACTGGTTGGGACTCTGAAACAGTATAGCAATAAACTATATATTGCAAAAGTCACCTCTGTGTGGGGGAAAATGCATCCCACAGTCTCTGTTTTCTGGGTAATGTTGTCTTGAGGAAACCCCATGAATGTAACTGGGCTATTCTCTGTAGTTCCATAAGCAACCTACAAAACACAAGAGTGAGGAACAGCTATGAGGAGAGTGACACCAACAGAGGAAGAATAAAAAAAAGTCTCTGAGATGCATCTAATTTGCAGACAGAACCATACCAGGGCAGCTACAATGTGACTGTTTCTCAGGCAAGTGTGTTCCATTTAGCTCCAGCTCATTCACATTATTTAAGCTAAGAAAATAATTTGTGCAAACACGTGTGTGTTATATACCATGAAATCTTTTCAGACTTATTTTTTTTCGATTTTTAAATAGTATTTTATTTAGATTTTTTCCCTACATACAAAAAAATCTCTACAAACCCTACACAAAACAAACAAACAAACAGAGACAGTACACCTAAACCAAAAATACAAACAGAAAACCCCCCACATATATAGGCAGAGGGGAAGCATTTCCATACAATGTTATCCATTCTTTAAAAAAACTGCACCAACCTTCTTACTTATAAGAATTCCAAAATATCATTCGTCCTAAAATTGTACTAATTCTAATAATTATTTCTCTTACATCCTTGGCTACCAATTATTTCTTAGAATATCAATACTAC